AGGTATTTAAGATTAACTGAGGACATAAGGGTGGGGCCCTAATCCAATGGTATTGGTGTCCTTATAAGAGGAAGAGGAGACCCCAAGGAGTCCCTCTCTGTAAGTACACAGAGGAAAGAAAGGCCATATGAGGACACAGTGAGAAGGAGGACATCTACAAGCTAAGAAGAGAGTCTTCACCAGACACTGAATTTGCTGGCATCTTCACAGTGGACTTCTAGCCTATAGAACTACGAAAGATAAATGTCTGTTTTTTAATCTACGCAATTTGTTATATTTTGTTATGACAGCCCAAGAAGACTAATATAGAAAGAATACGCCTGAGTCCGAAACCCAGTGACCGCAGGGGCCCAAAATGTGACTCAGAGCATGAAGCTGGCTTTGGCTTTGAGTGCATTTTTTAATAACTGGTGAAATAGAACTTTGGTTTTCAAAGTCTTGTGATAAAGAAGGAACAAGAGACAAAGGTCATGCTTCACCAAAGTAGGAGACTCTGAGAGAACACCTCTGAATAAAGCTGAGCTAGTTAAAGATGTACCCTTAGTATGAGAGTGAGCTAGAAATAAGCCTGTCTTTCTTCTAATCTGCCTGCTGGAGGCTGATTTTTTATCTCAGAACTTGACACTGAGTGGACAGCAAACAGAAAACTTCCCCCGGACTCCAACACAATAAATACTCCTTCAGATTACTTGGGTGGTTTTAAACCTTCATACTGCGAATTTAGTCTGGTAACGTCACCAGGCAGCAGGCAGAAGCAAATGTACACTTTCTCTGGAAGAAACCACCTTCTACCCAAGTCTTAAATAATTCCCACAAATAAAGTTTATAAATTCTAACCACATAGCCAAAAATTGTAAAACAAAGAAGGGAAACATGGTTCTGGGGGCCAGAGGTGAGAAACGATAGACAACAGAATCAAACTTGCAAAGATTTCAGATGTTGGGATTAACAGACATAGAATATGTTTAATAAATTTAAAGAATTAAAGAAGGATCTAAACATACGAGTAAGGAGAAAGAGACTATACCTGTGATCAAAAACACTTGAAAAGGAACCAAATAGAACTTCATAAAAATAAAATTATGATATTTGAAATTAAAACAATTCCCCAGTGAATAAATTCAACAGAGGTTAGACATAGCTGAACAGAGAATTAGTGAACAGAATGAAAAAGAGAAAACATGATAGAAGTTAAGAAACAGAGAAGACAGAGTGCTTTGTCAGACTTCCAGAAGCAGAAAATAGAGAGAATACAGGAGAGGTAATAGTTGAAAAGATAATGGCTAAAAATTTCTCCAAACGAATGAAAGATACAATTCATGGATTCAAGAAGCTTAATGAAATCAAGTATGAGAAATACGACAATATGCACAACTAGACACATGATAGTGAAACTACATACAGTAAAAACAAGGAAAAGACCATAAAAGCAGCCAGAAGACTGTTATTCAGAGGAATAACAATAAACTTACAGCAACATTGGAAGCTACAAGACACTGGAATATTCCCATGTGCAGAGAGCATATCAACCAAGAACTGGATCTCTAGTGAATACTAGTGTTCTTTCAAGAATAAGGAAAGTCTACAGCCATGCCACCCTGAACAAGCCCGATCCCATCTGATCTTGGAAGCTAAGCAGGGTCAGGCCTGGTTAGGATGGGAGATCACCTAGGAAGACAAGGTGCTGCGGGTATAAAAAATAAAATATAAGGGATTGTAAGATGACAAGGTCCTTGCAATCTGTGAGGTCAACCAAGGGTTGCCTCACCTAAAAAAAAAAAAAAAGAATAAGGAGAAAACAGACATTTTAAGACAAACAAGAACTAAGAAAGTTTGTCATCAAGAGGAAAATAAACCTTCAAGCATGTACTTTGGACAGAAAGAAAGTAATTCCAAAGAGAATTGCAATAAAGAATAGCAAACAAAATAGCAGTAAATATATCAGTAAATCTAACAGGACATTCGTTTTATTAAATACTAACAACAATGACTTCTGAATATGAAACAGGAAAATACACTCATCAGAGAGTATGAATTGGGAGGGATTAATTGAAGTCATAGTGTACTAAGACCTCTAACTTTTCAGGAGGAACATAAAATTACTATTTACATTAGGCTTTATTAAATATGCATGTTAATATTTTAGGGAAACCCTAAAAGAACAGAAATGATTGTATAATTTTAATGGCCTAACTTTTTCAGTTACATCATAGATCGTGAGAATGGATTTTTAAAAATCCAGCTGCATACAAGGCACATATAAAGCATTAGGAAGTAGAAAGTTTTAAAGCAAGAGGAAAAGATGTATTAGACAAAAAACAAAAGAAAGCTGATGTAATATTTCGGAAAACAAACTCTAAGATCAAAACACTACTACAGATAAAGAGAGTCATTACATAATTATTTTGAAAAAGTTCAATTCACTAGTAAGATATATATTCTCAACTTGCATGCTCTGATAACACAGTCCTAAAATACATAAAGCAAAGTCAAGAGAACTTCAAAGAATTATAGACAATATGCCTTCCTCTGCAGCTGACTGATCAAGAAGACGAAATCAATAAAGATATAAAAGATATAAGCACAATAAATAAGCTTTATATAATGAACATATTAGAACACAAAAAGCAGCAAAATATAGTTTATTTTTTCAAGCACACACAGAATATATGTGAAAAATGAGCATTTCTGATCCAAAAAGCACGTCTCAACAAATTTCGAGTACGTCAAATACAGACAATGTTCTCTGACCACAAGCTTTAGAATCAGTAACAAAAGACAGCTAGAAAAGTCCTTTGTTTGGAAATTAAGAGATATTTCTAAATGGTTGAAAGATGAAAGAATGGAAATTGGGGAACACTCAGAACTAAACTATAACAGATATATTACATATAAAAACCTGTAGGAATGTAGCCAAAATAGTTCTTAGAGGGAAATTTATAGCATTAGATGCTTAAATAAGATTGGAAAATAATAAATTAAGCATCAAAATTAAGATGCTAGAAAAAGAATAAGAAAATAAACCCAAATATAATAGAAAGAAGGAAATAAAGATGAGAGCAGAAATGGGTAAAATAGAAAAGAAATATATCAAAAGAAGTACTAACAAAGCCAATATTGGTTCTTTGCAAAGAATAACAAAACATGAAACCTTTGGCAATATTGATAAAAAGACACAAAATTAGTAATAAAAAAGGTAATAAAAATATATACTGAGATAGTATACAGAATTTTATAGCCAATAAATCTGAAAACTTAATAAAATGGTCTCAAAAAAATCAGATGATCTAAATAATCCTTTAGTCATTTAAAATATTAAATCTATAGTTTAAAATTTTCTAACAAAAGAACTTTAGACCTGGACAGTTTTCTGAAAAGTTCCACCAAACTTTTAAGACAAAAGTTATTCCAATCCTCCACTAATAACTCCATAGAATAGAAAGAGAGGAAACATTCTCCAAATCATTATGAGGTTAGCAATATTTTGACCAAAAAAAAAAAAAAAAATTGGCAAAGGAAAAATCTGGCAAAGGTAACATGGAAAAAAACCTCACTCTCATTAACAAAATAGAAGCAAATTACTAAATAAAATATTAGCAGATCAAATATAGGCATGTATAAACTGATAATTTTAAATAACCAAGTTGGTTTTAGCCCCAGAATGCAACGTTGGTTTAAAGGAGCAAATCACATGATGATATCAATAGATACAGAAAGGTGCTTGATAAAACTCACCATCCATTCACAATAAGAGCTCTCAGTGAACTAGAATTAGAGAGAAACTATAAACTTTAAAAAAAAAAAAAGCTTCAGAACACATCATACTTAATGATGAAAAGTAAAAATACCCTATTTACCATCGAACAATGATAAGAATGACCACTGTCAACAGTGATTTGACATTATATTTGAGGTTCAATCCAGAACACTGGGACAAGGAAAAGAATGAAGAAAAAATATAAGGATAGGAAAGGAAGAAACAAAACCATTATTTTTTGAAGACGATGACTCTTATGTAGAAAACCTCAAATAATTCACAGATAAATTTTTACAAGACAGTTGCTATATAAAAAAAAAAATCAAAGAATAAAAATTAATTGCATTTCTAAATATAAGCAAGAAACAGGTAGGAAATAAAAATTTAAAAGATATGATTTATAACAGCAATAACACATATAAGATATCTAGGAGTAAATATACAAGATTCGTAAAAGAAGAAAAAATTACACAAGTTTATTGAAAGCCATTAAAGAAGCCCTAAGTAAACAGAGAACTATACCATACCCATGGACTGGAAGATTCAGTATCATAAAGATACCAGTTCTTCTCCAATTGATTTATAGTTTTGGTATATTTAAAGATTCCAACAGGTTATTTTGAGGGTCTTGGCAAGATACTTGTAAAATTTATGAGAACAAAGGGAATGTCACAGGAAGAAAACTAAATGTGAAATAAACATGGGAAAAGATATATATATAGCAGTGTAAAACTACACACGACATACATAAATCTTAGGGACATAACTTTGAGTGAAGCTGATTAAGAATGTATACAACATGATTACATTTATTTGACGTTCGAATGCTGGCTTACTAAATAATGTAATTTTAAGGATGCGCATTTATGTTCAAACTATAAAGAAAAGCAGAGGAATGATAAGTACACAAAGTAGTGTTTACTGGGGGATAGGGAATGGACTGGGATTGGTGAGGGACATACATCACTAAGGTAACTGTGATACTTTTTCTTAAGCTGAGAGATGGCTATACGTTCAGCTTAAGGAAAAAAGTTTGTTGTATTAATATTCTTTATATTTTACTTATATGTTCTAAATATTCTTATTGTCTACTTAATATCGAAATGATATTTAAGGATTGTCTGCAGAGAACCTACCACGACCATGTTCTGGGTTCGAAACCCCTTGTAGGCCAACAGTCCCCAACCCAGCCCTGCCCAAAGGACACTCCCCACCTCCCCACCCCCCGCTCCAAGAGCCTTACCTTGGCGGGGTTGAGCGCTGTGATGATCCACACACAGTGTGCGTTGTTGTCATACTGAATGGGGAAATTGGGGGAGGTGATGATGCCTGAGGGGCCTCGAAGGTGGGCATCACACATGCGGGCTGCAGAGAGGAGATGGAAGACAAGACTTTTAGTTTAGACTAGGTCCAGTTCCCATCCCCACCTCCCACCCCAGCCCAAAAGAGACTGAAGTCTGTATAGTCCTATCCCAGACATAACCTTCTGCTTCCAGTTTTCTTCCCCCATGGTTCTCAGCAGGTTCAAAGGGAAGTCACAGTTCTCGGAGCACAGGGGTGGGGGCAGGCCCCACATTCCCCGACCTGCTGCTCTGCAGGCAATGATGAATTTCCATGATCAGGCTAAGTGAGCTCCCTACCCTGACTCTGTGGTGATCAGCAGCTCATCTCTACCAAAAGGGTGGAGTCTTCATATCAACCTAAAGCTAGGTGGGCCCCAAGCACCTATGGACCTGCTAAGATACCCACTCCCCTTGTTCTACTGACCTGTCTGTTTTCCCATTTGCTCTCAGGCTTCCTGAAGTAGAATCTCAGGATGTCTTTATCAAGGCCACCCAATTAGGTCACAGAATGTCTGTGCCCAAGGACTCTGCCAAGGACTCCAGATCAGCCCAGGTCCAGGCAGCCCGAGTGATCTCGGTGCCAATCAAGGACTTCCCCAATTCCTTCCCCACACATAGCACAAGCCTAAAACAGGCTTTTGACTGGAAGCATAAAGATTCTAGGTGAATTAGAAGAAGTGCTCTACTCAAGTAGATATAAAGTGTTATCAATCACAGTTTAATCTAATTAAGCTCTTTAAAATAGCTTCTGAACTAATTAGATTAAGTAGTGATTGATAACCGTTAAGGTACTACATTGTACCTGGGTGTTTGCCTTCTTTAAAAATGTGTTCTTTAGTTCTAGCCACTTCATTCTTCAATGTTAGTGCTCAGCTATTTTAATAAAGAGTTCTATGAGCCTGTTCCGTGGCTGCCCACATGGCAATTTATCCTAATCGTAGGCAAAGTGCCTAACAGTAAAGAAATAGTGAGCAAACTCAGAAGCCTAAATAGATAAAATGAAAGTGATGTCAAACCTGGTTTCCCCTGATGGGGCAAAATATCCTAGAGCTTCCCTTGGTGTGTGGAGAGGGCCATGATAAACCTGTCCCAGGAAGCTGTTTCCACTGCTCCCAGATATAACTCATCGCTTCTCATTTCATGAGCTCATTCCTGCACTCACTCATTGAAACATTTATTGAGTGCCCGGCAGAGTACGGGGAGAGAAAACGTCTGAGAAACAATCCCTCCTCTCTGAAGGCCACTGGCAAGTGGAGGAAATAAGTATGAAAACCATTCGAATCAAGAAGAGCAAGGGTTGTCCGAGGATTATTTGCGAGAGGCTGTTGGGTCAGAATTGCTCCTCTTCTAGCTCATCATCTTCAGTGAGGATGTTGCCTCTGGTGGCTTGCCCCAGTCCTGAGCCTAAAGGACCTTCTCCCTCATCCTGAGCTCAAATGTCAGTGGAATCAAGTTGGAACAAAGCCCTAGGGGAAATCTCTCCTCCACACCCCTTGAGTGCATCTGATTGCTCCTGTAATCTGGCTCTGAGAAACACTTAAATTCACAGACTGTGCTTGTTATAGCTGGGCCTGAGGGCAGCTACCATGGTGAGGAGAGCACAGGCTGTGGGGTTTACCAGCTTAGCTTACTGGGTTTTAAATTTACCTGTTGGTTGTTTAAGCATGGGTAAGTTAGAAAACCTCTCTGATTCTACTTCAGTTGTAAAATGGGACTAGTGACATCGCCTCATCGAGGTAAGGTGAGGATGAAGTTATATGAGATAATGGATGCAAAGGCTCGCCCAGGACCTGGGACATCATCAGTACTCAACAAAGAGGAGCTGGGAAGGTCAGACTCGCAATGCCACGTTCATTCCATTTCACTCTGCCCAAGATTTCTTTCAAGATTTCTTTTGTCTACCTTTCTTGAAGTTTCTTTACGTAAGATTATTTTTCCTGTGGACACACTTGAGACTGACAACATTACTAAACAAATTAGAATAAGATCATCAAAACCAAAAGCGTGATCCCAGCCCACCTTTGCAGAGGACCTGTGGATTCAGAATCCCAGCCCTGCAGGGGGTCCTTACAAATCTCCACAGGCACCACCTCACACCTCTTCTGGAAAGCCAGGTTTTGTTGCCTTAAAAGCCCTCAGCTTCAGACTCAATTTATCCTGCACTCGTTTCCAAAAATTAGATGGTATTTGCAGTGTGTTGAAATATGCTGAAGGTAATTAGAGAGAACAGGTCAAAAAAGGCATTTACTGCTTTAAGAGCTTAGAGAGAATTAATTAAAATATTACAATCTGCAGATAGTTAGCATGGAGCACTTTAAAATAGGTTCAGAATGGAGCATCAGCTACATTTTTCCTCTAGTGTCTGGAATAAGGTCAGGGGGTCTGAGGACAGACAGACTTCCCCCTGAACGGCCAGCCCCCAGGATCCGACCAACAGATGGGCAGCTCATGGCTGCAACCCACACAGGCTGGCAAAATGGTAGATGCTCAAATGAGATCTGAATAAATGAGGAAACACATGTTTATGTCCCCCTTTTTGCCTTTTCTCATCAAATGCTCTGCTGGATAACTTTCAAGAAACTTCTCCAGGACCTTCCAAGCCTAAGCTGTGTAGTCACGCCCTCTTTTTTTCTAGTTATCGCTATACCAAATAAATAAAATAAAATAAAATAAAATAAAATAAATAAAATAAAATAAAAGCTACCAAAAAGCAGAGAAAGTTGTTCTATGTGCTTCCACCCAGTATAATGACTCTGAAGGTTGTGCAGGTGTAATTTTCAAGAAGTAAGATAGAGCCTTCGAGTTGGGGTTTGAATTTCAGCTCAGCCAATTAGCTTTGTGCCCCTCAGGCAAGCTGGCTGACCACTCCAAGCCTGAGCTAAACTTAAAATACGGATATTGCAATTTTCTTCATAAAGAAATTATGAAAAATGCCTACTACAACGCTTTACACAAGTATAAATAGTTCAATCAATGAGAGCTTCATCATTCACACACATAGATAGCTAAGGAACTCAGGGAGCGATGGGGCATGTATTCTAGCGTAGTCAGTGAGTCAGCCAGAGAGAGTAACTACAGAGGAGAGGAGAGGAGGGTGGGTGTAAGAGTGAGGCAGGGAGGTGGGAAGAGGGGAGGAGAAAAAGAAGGGGAGAGGAAGGGAGAGAAGAGGTGAGAAGGGAAGGGAAGGGGAGAGGAGGAAGATGAAAACAAAACTCGAAACATTAGTGTTAAAGAGTAGACCCAGGGAGCTATCCAGGAAAGGCCAGCAAGAAGGAGAGTCACCTGTAATTTTCATGGCATTTAATTCAGCTAGTTTGTGCCATATTTCCCACATTTCACTCCCATTTTACGAGAATGAGGGAGAAGATTCAGAACAATTCCGTAATTTTCCCTGTGCCATACGGTATGTTAATAGCAAGGCTGAAACTCGAACTTAGGCCTCTTAGTTCTGAATCTGGTGTTCTAGCCTCCAAAAAGTCTTTTATTCTAAACTTATATATAAATGTGTGTGTGTATA